TTTCTCTTCTTTTTTTCGAATTTTCAAAGAAAATATCACACGTTCGATATCGTAACCGTGTCAAGTCTGCTGGAGAATATCTCTGATTTTTCTGTACCTTTCTTTAATTCACATTTTCAGAGCGTTTAGTCCGTAGCAAGATAAGTTCAATAAAAACAAATTCAAATAAGCAGTTTATTGTACAAAAGGTTCAGATAGAAGAACACATTGAATGGAAAAACACGTCAAATGCATTCTCAGTTCGTTGTAATTATTACAAATTGGTTAAGAAAAATGTTAAAAATATACAGTAATTACAAGCAAATCATTCTACGATTACGTTATCAACGGTATTAAAAGGGAAAAAAGACTTTTCGACATCTAACTAACGCACACAGCTTGCGAGGCGTTCGATGCGTCGCGATAAAGCAAGAATTCGAGTGTATCTGCGTGCAACACGACACACGGTTAATTAATCACGGGTCTAAACGAAGGTTTGGCGTTTATCGTGGCCCGAATTGTGAAACGATCCTCCATGCCACACGCGGTGTTCTTTTTCGAACGAATTTATTTCAAAAAGAAAAAAGAAAAAAAAATAAACAGTAAAAGTAAAAATAAAAATGGAATAAAAAAGAGAGGTATACATGGGAAAGGATAGTTATCGTTGAGAGATAAATAAAGCAGGACGTTAAACCGAGCCAGATAGAATTTCCGTCGGAACAGCGTAATGCTCGACGATACGAGAAGTTCTGCTGGCGTAAGACAAGCGGAAGTTTGACTTGGCAAAGATGACACTCCCCCCCCGAACCTTTAACGAAAGAAGAACACCACCATGAGAATTATTAAAAATCATTGCAGTTCGTCGTGTGTATGACTACTATGAGAATGTGTCTGAAAGTCACGAACTTGGGAGTCATGAAAACTTTTTCAATGCAGAGATCTTCCTGTTATGAGTCACACGTTCAACCAAGTATTACGTGTGAGATAAAGTGAGAGAAACGTGATATATTAGCAATCATACGCGGTGATTAAAAAGAATCGAAAATTTAGCGAATTGCAGAGATTTTTATTTTTATTTTGAAAAGAAATTACTTGATTTTTTGATCGGTTAAAATTTTATACTTATACAGGGTGTCCTTCGTTAAGTGTCGCCATGAAATACTTATTTTTGAAAAAAGTTGAATTATATTTAAGTGTATACAACGTTCGTAAACCGAAATACCGAGAACTTTTTCATTGCGATCGACTAACAACTTCAGTGTCGCTTTCAGAAAACAAAAGTTTCGTTTTGAGAAGAAACAATTATAAGTGTTTACGAGTTTATTTATTTTTATTCCTTTTGTTCATTTGCTTTGTTCTAATAATATAGATAAAACTGGAATTTTTTTCCATGATGATTACACGCACGTCGCCATAGCAGCGCCGATAAATTGAAAAAAATTAAATGTAGTTCGATATCTATCTAAAACAATTTTCTGTGAAGTTTAAGAAAAGACCTAAAATTTCGTGGCGACACTTACTGGGACACCCTTATAATTCAACTACAATTCAACCTCGTGGTGGGGGTACACTGGCCGAGCGACCTTGAACGATGACCATATTCGGTTCAGACTATAGCTGGTATCAGATATTTCAATCTGAAAATATTTCGGAAATTGTTGCTTTTCCACGGATGCACTCGTAGTTGCACAAGATTAAAATACGTGCACAAACCGAGAATAAACCGGTAAGGTTCACAGAGGACGAGAGTAAAAGCGAACGAAAATGAGAAGCTGGAGCGCGACGCCGGCGAGATCAAAAGAATCTCACGACTCACTGTCGTCACGGACGGCGATATTTCACGCTTTTTACGCGTTCGAGACAGGCAAGGAAAAGCGAGAGTTGCCCTCCTAAAACTTCGTACGTGAAATCTGCATTGTCGTTTCTCAAAGGAACATTATCCACGTTTGGAAAATTTCAACAGTTTCAATTATACGAAATGAAATACTACGAATTCACAGTCGTATTCGTGACCACATACGAAACTTGACGCACTTGCGACATTTCCTAACTATTTTGGCGAAAATTTTCATTTTATTATTATTAGACAATTTTTCTGTGTGGAATCTCTAGTTTTAAAAAGCGCGCTCGTTATTAAGAATACAAGAAACAATTGAAAGGTTTGCTGCAAGCAGGGACAGCTGCGTAATTTGCCGAAACTGAATTATGGGTAGCATTGAAATATTCTGAATAGACTGATGCAAGATCTTAATTATTTTTTAAATAATTCTAACATTGCGTGGGTTGATGTTTCCTAATAATGGTATTTAAGGTAATTATTTACCCGAGATAAGTGGACTTTTGTATAACTTGGTACAAAGAGCAGCTGGAAATTTTCAAAATTCACCCTGCCGTTAGAAAAAAGATATTTTTGCTCGGTAATAATACTAAATTCTGTGTTAAAACGTAGGTTAGAATAAGTAAAATATTCTGAACATGTATCTAAAAATATTTAACATATTAATACTATTTTTATTACTTTTCAAAAAGTTAGCACATTTCGAGCTGTCCCATTCTTACAGCAAAGTCATTAATTTTCACGATTTCCTATAAAATTCGAAAATTTATGACACTGATATATCAACACTTAATGACTCAGCGGAACGCGTATATCAGATCAAAGGCGTTGAATACTAAATAAAAAATATCCCAAAAAACGCGTCGTGCATAGAAGAGCCTTTCTCCAGAAGGACCTCCCCTCAAAGAAAGAAGATTCAACGGGTAACTGGAATTCCTGCAGTGTTACGAGCGACGACCTTGACCACCGCATGTAGGCAGAAAATGCGATTGCCTTGGCTGCACGACGACAGCTGCGACAATCGCCGCCACGGAGAAACAATGCTTACGTAACGCGCGCGGTCAATTATGCAAAATGCAGCGTATGTCCACGTGCGTGCAGCAGTACGCGCCGCTGATGCATCTTCTATTCTCCCAGCGTGCTGTGTGTGTCCGCCTGACGACTCGCCAGACGATAATACTCGTCCAACCATGCCGCGAAACCCGACTATCGTTACGTAAACCTTTCCAAAAGGGGAAAGAAATAATACACGCGTAGCGTGCATCTAAGAAGAATAAAAGATGTGGGTAAGGTAGGTATTCCGGTGAAACACGCTAAAAGTATAAAAATGCAAAAGTGAATATCTGAAAGGGAAATCTCCATCGAGTTGGTTTTGCGTGCATTCGATTCCTTTAATAGCTAAAAATCATGATTGATTAAAAAAAAAATAGTTTGCGGAAGTAAATGCGAAAAATAGGTAAGATAAAAAAAATTTACATTGTAAGCGCACACCCTCAACGTTCGATATTTTTCACCCAACTCTTTTAGAATTCTTTTACCGTTGGCCATGGGGGAATCGAATGCACGTAAAATCGATCGAGCTTTCGAAGTTTCTGCTTTCTCCTTGTTATGTGTTTTACCAGTAAACCCACGATATATTTTTAGTATTGCTTTGTTCTTCGATTGCTAATTGACTTTTTATGATGATCGATTATTGAGATAGAAGATGCGGGAGGACGTAATTCTAATGGCCGGCGTTGAGGTTGAAGTTCAAGGTTACCGACGAAGAGGCTACCTCAGACCCCGTCTACCGAGAAAGACGAATCGATATGTATAGGGTGGCACGAAAGTATGTACCAGGGTATAGCCTGTCTGACTTGGCTATGAAGAAGCGGGATTTTCTACTTTCTCTTTTATAGCGGAGATTTGACGAAAGATTTAACGTTAATGAAATGGAATTCTATACCGGATGGTACGAAAGTTTCGTAAAGTTGTAGCAAGTTTAGTTTAATTCGTTGGAAAATGTGTATTTAGTATTCGTTAGACAAGTAAGAAAGAACAACTAATACAAAATTTTAAAAAATGCATTAACCACATAGTTTCTTAATACTGTTCACATTCACGCTAGTTAAATTTGTAAATTCATTGTCCAACACAATACGAACTCAACGATAACGGTTAAGGTAAAATATCTTTTGAAGAAAAAAATGTCAGACGTATTTTCGATATTTCCAAATGAGTTTCGAGGATTTTCGAAAAAGGTAATGACAGATCCAGCACAATGACATACATCAATTTATCTTCTAAAACAAAGAAGACCTCACATACATAATTTATTTATTCCAAAGCGAGTGAACTCGATATGTTATTGTCATTTGCAGCGTGAAAGTTAATCGATAACGCACGCTGCACCCGTTATTCATTTCTCACGTGTTGTACGGGCGAGTTATTCTCCAGTGGCCTCGAGCAATCGTGCAGACGCGACGTAGACTGAATTTGGCAAAGCATTTAACGGGCCCGTGCGACCACCAAATATTTCTACCACTTCCTGTCTTCTTTTCTCACCGAAACGTTAAACAAAATTACAACTAAATCCGTCTCACTAACAACGTTAATCGTCTTTCCATTTTTCCAATAAAGGTTCAAAAAAAGATTCTAAAAGTGTCTATTTTTCGAATCTTTAGAGTAACTTTTGGACAGAGTAACGTCCTGAAAGAATAGTACTTTTCATGTTCGCCTACTTCAGTCGAATATTTTACAAACATTTTAAATTTGATATTTATATATCGAAATAAAGAAAACTGAAAAAAGGGGGAAAAAGTTTTCAACTTCGTTCCAACAACAAAGTAAAACAACAAGATCGATAGGTGTATCGAACCGCAAACTACGCGCAAAACTACATATGCGAACGAAGGGCGAACGTAAACTTGTTTACAAGCCCGAGAGACGACG